GAACAAGAGAAAACAACTTTCACAAGACCAAATGAGAAAACATTCTGGTTAAATAATAATAATAATAATAATAATAATAATAATAATGTCTACCGGGGTTACCGGTGATTTATTTTGCACACATATAATCACAATTTACACATTAAGACCTAGGGAATATTCTATCGTTTGTGAGGATGGGACGATGCAGAAGACGATCTAGAAGGAGAAGGCTACCCGCTTTATATGTGCTTGCGCCTTCGACAAGTCCACCCATGATTTATTTTACACTTCTGCACATTATTTTACCGGTGATTTATTTTGCACACAATCACAATTTACACATTACGACCTAGGGCATATTCTATCATTTGTGAGGATGGGACGATGTAGGAGATGATGTAAGAGATGATGTAGGAGATGATGTAAGAGATGATGTAGGAGATGATGTAGGAGATGATGTAAGAGATGATGTAGGAGATGATGTAGGAGATGATGTAAGAGATGATGTAGGAGATGATGTAGGAGATGATGTAGGAGGAGAAGGCTACCCGCTTTATATGAGCTTGCGCCTTAGACAAGTCTTTGGGATCCATTTGGATCCCTGGTTATCCCAATCTCGAGAGGAAGGGGCCTAGGGGGACCGGTCTTGCGAACCAGTTCACCATATAGGTGCGGCTACCTACAGCACTCGGTTCAGGGAAGATATCCCTGGCTCATCTGCTGGATTCGAACCAGAGACTTGAGAACCAGAACCAAAACAAGAGACCCAACGTTGCTTAACTTGGCAGCTCTGACGGGATACCGTGTTTCAACGTGGCGAGGGAAGGCAAATGGGGAAGGTGTTCTTTTATACGCGTTTGAGCACGACATTGTTTAGGGTACGGTATTTCTGGTGTCTTTGTGGCAGCCATTTGGTGACATAAAGTGCCGAAAATAGTCACAAGTATCTTTTTTTGCATGAGTATGAACCTATGCTTTACCTGCTATATCTTTTCAAAGATCTCGGTTCAATTACTCAACTCTGAGCTATCGTATGTATTACTTAATTTAATACCGTATTCTCTCTAATAGTAGTGCACCCCGCCAAGCCGAGTTGATGACTATTTTACGGTTTCCAAGCTTTTGCAGAAGCTCAACACTCTAATCACCAGCTAGATCTCATCATCAGCTACATTTTCCGTCCCCACATCGGTAGGTTCTGATAAGCGGTTTTCGAGATATCGAGCAATTTAGGCAACGCTCAGGGTGTACTACTATTAGAGAGAATACGGTAACTTTTATTTAGAGAAGTCTAATTCAATGGGCCTATTACCGTATTCTCTCTAATAGTAGTGCACCCCGCCAAGCCGAGTTGATGACTTTTTTACGGTTTCCAAGCTTTCGCAGAAGCTCAACACTCTAATCACCAGCTAGTTACATCGTCAGTTACATTTTCCGACCCAACATCGGTAGGTTCTGATGCGCTTTTCTAGATTTCGAGCAATTTAGGCAACGCTACTGTATGGATGCACTACTGTTAGAGAGTATACGGTATCATAATCTGCACTTGTCGATTTACATTTATCGCTTTGTCGTTTACATTTGTCGATTTACATTTAAACACTTTCAATGAATTGAAGACTTTTTATTTTAAAGTTCAGACATTTTTAGACAACTAAGAACTTTTTAAAGCAATTCAATTCTTTAAGAAACTTGAACTTTTTATTGATCTTTGAATAGTTAATTAAAATTTCTGACTCGAAATGATTTTGAGTGATCACCCGGAGATCCGAGGTGAGAGAAAGGGCATAAAAACTTGATTGTCCCAAGACGCCTTTCTCAATTCTCATCAAGAATTCGAGAGAAAAAAGGCAAATAGAAAAAAGAAATCCCTTATGCAACACTGGATCCGGAAAAGGCAAGGAGAAATCGAGAAATCGAGAAATAATCGACACCAAAAAGAAAAAGGATGGGTGAAAAATGAAAAATGAAAACCCTGTCTGCTCCCGGGCATTCCAGATCTCGAGTTTCATAGCTGAATTTCATTTTCAAACACTCGCCTAATCTGTCGTTTTGAGAAATGCTTTACTTGGCACTGTATGCTTTGTTACCAGGTTTGTTGTTTGTACTTGGAGAATTTAGAGCCTATAAATGCTGAATAATGGCAAAAACTGTACAAAAGTATGTGTGCTAGTTCTAGTGTGCTATTTCTGGTGTGCTATTTCTAGTGTACTATTTCTAGTGTGCTAGCTCTAGTGGACAAGTTCTAGTGTACTATTTCTAGTGTGCTAGCTCTAGTGTACAAGTTCTAGTGTACTAGTTCTAGTGTACAAGTTCTAGTGTACTAGTTCTAGTGTACAAGTTCTAGTGTACTAGTTCTAGTGTACTAGTTCTAGTGTACAAGTTCTAGTGTGCTAGTTCTAGTGTACTAGCTCTTATTTACTAGTTCTAGTGTACAAGTTCTAGTGTGCTAGCTCTCCCGGAAGAAGTTTTCCGGGGATTAGATAACGATAATCGATACTCTGCTTATCTAACTTGAATTCAGCACTGAGTTCGGCTTGTTTCCGAATGCATCCACCAACAACGACTACGACCACAACGACACCAATGAGCACCACAAGTACAGTACTTTTGATTCTTTTGATTAGGCTTAAGCGTAGGCTTAAAATCTTGTATTTTACGGTATGCAACAAATACAAGATTTTAAACCAATTCATCTTATAATCCTTTTCATTTAGCATGCCCAACTTGTGCTGATCTCACACAGAGCACCGCCCCAACAACTGTACAGGTGCAGTTGGTTTAAAATTCTATGGATTAGCTTTAGTAATTAAATTTAGGTTAAAAAAACACACACACAAATAATGTGGTATAAACAATAGACAAGTACAACCCCTAAGCTTTAAATGTAGAGAAGAAAGAAAAAAACCATAGAAAAAAGAACCAAAAACCCAGCCAGCGGGATTGAAACCGATGGCTGAATTTTTGACTAAAATACCTCTAGACTAAAATACAGGACACTTAGCCAATCGGCCATGAGCTTTAGTTGAATGAAAAGTAAAATAAGAGTTTTTTTATTACCGAATTCCAGACCTCAGCCTATTTCACGTTTTCAAATGGATGCTCGAAAGCGACGAACAATTGCCCGACTGATGGCGGGTCTTAGGTAAGTGATTTTAAGCTAATTCTGAAGTGGATTACCAGTAACTAATTTACCCAGATTACTGTTGTAATGTCGAATTTTTCTTGTTGTGTTTTATAACACTTAACTTTTTATTGTCTTATGGATAGATTTAAGTCATTTTTTAAGGTTGCCTTTGATGTGCTTTGATTGGCTTATTGCTATAGATTGCTTATACCGTAAATACTATAATAGTACCCCAGCCCCCTCGTACAGTCGCGTAGTCGCAAAAGTTTTTTTAGTATTTCATTGTTTTTCAAAGCATCCGTACTTCCAAAAAATACGTCTTTGGTATCAAAAAATAGCCCTGAGTTTCAGCTATTTTTTGATACCTAAGCACGCATTGTAGCATAAACCAGTGTCGAGAAAATGCGTCCAAAGCTAGACTACGCAACGCTCCCCACCGTCATTATGGGGGTGGGGTACTATTACAGTATTTACGGTAGGATTAGTGTAACCAGAGTCGGATTGTTTAGTCGTTCGACTGTTTTCCTTAATAAGTTAAAATTTCCAGATTAGAAACCGATCAAGGAGTGATCACGATCCCGCCCACCGACGCCGAGAGTCAAGAGTTGACTTGCACTGGCGGTGATTACGAAACAACGTACAAAGGAACCACATACACAGTCACCGCCGATGTTTGCTATGTTGCAAGTATCTTTTAGAAAACCTTTACTTATTACTGTTCGATTACTGTATAAGTCTCATCATAGTCGAACGTCTTTCTTCCTTTCTTCCTTTCTTCCCCCTTGTCTTTCCCACTTTCTCTTGGTAAGTTAAGGTACCAAATAGCTCAGTGGCTAGAGAAATTGTGCCTGGAGAGCAAAAAGTCGAGGATTCAATCCCTGTCTACCACTGGATCTATCTTTTCTTGTCAATTCCTTCACTTCTTTATTAAGAACTGTTTGAACTGTTTAAATAGTTTAAACCGTTTGAACAGTTTAAACAGTTTAAACAGTTTAAACAGTTTGAACAGTTTGAACAGTTTAAACCGTTTGAACAGATTTTAGATTTGTTAATATATTATTTAAATATCAATTCACATTTCTCTTGTTCCAGGATGTGCACAGTGTCCGATGCCAGTTGTCGATACGGGGATCTCCGTGGTGATCAGCTATGATGCAGACAGTCTTTGCGAGATTGCAACATTTAGTGGATGTGCAACAGGATATCAGTTAGTTTAAGAATTTAAAAAGATCTTTTAGTTTTTAAATATTTGAAGCCCTGTTCTTTCAGAGTGAAGAGCGCAGGCCCGTTCCAGCAAAAATTCACTAGTCCGTTGCCGTGTGTCGATTATGGAGCAACTGCTGGTGGAAGATGGTAAATGAAATAGCTGTAGCTGTAGATTAGCTGTAGATTAGCTGTAGCTGTAGATTAGCTGTAGCTGTAGATTAGCTGTAGCTGTAGATTAGCTGTAGCTGTAGCTATAGCTGTAGCTGTAGATTAGCTGTAGCTGTAGATTAGCTGTAGCTGTAGCTATAGCTGTAGCTGTAGATTAGCTGTAGTTGTAGCTGTAGCTGTAGCTGTAGTTGTAGCTGTAGCTGTAGCTGTAGCTTTGTAGTGGTGTAGCTGTAGCTGTAGTTGGTAGTTGTAGCTATAGATTATAAAATTTACAAAGTCATTATTATATATTTGTATCATTCTTAAGATTTTAAAACTACTAAAAATACTAAAAACCTTTTTTCATGATGATCTTCGAATTTTCTATTTTTTCAGGTACACACAATCTTACACGAAACGAAAATCTAGTCACGTGCCGGCTAGTTTGATCGATCATAATAATAATAATAATAATATTTTTATTTAAATTTAATAATAAAGATTTCATTGTAAAGTTCCATTTTTTTTTGTTTACTTAATCACGATTTTTAAGACCGCATTGAACACGACAAGCGATGTCCTGAAAAGAAAAATTTCCATTCTTAAACTCTTTTCCAAAATTTATCATAGAATATGCATTAGAATAAAACTTAGAGAAATCTCTTTTAAAACAACATTAGTTACTGTACCTCGAAAGCGATTCGCGACCCGAAATCTCTCAAAAGTTGGCCACAATTCGTGACGCTTAGTGATTGACATTGACGCTAGAAAATAAGCTATAAAAAGCAATAAAATCAAGCAATAAAGATGACTTTTAAGGGATATTATTGCAATGTTTTTGAACTTTGAAATAATCTTTTAATCTCTTCTAGGAAATCTTTTCTTTCGAATCTTTCATCCCTAAAACTCACCCCCTCTTTCGTACAAATACAACTCGTGCACGGCGATGGTTGAAACCTCTTTCCCATTTCACAGTCTTCTAAAATTCAGTCTTCTAAAATGAGTCTTTAATTTAAAGTCTTTTCTTGCTTACGATTCTCAATCCATGGATCCAAATTGATTGGTCGATAAGAAGAACAAGTGAGAGGATGATTGCTGAGAATTATGAATACTATTTTGGTTTGGAAAGCATTGGTGAAAAGTTTGGAAAGTATTGGTGAAAACTTGATAGAGTAAAGAAATGAATGGCAAAGAACCGAGGGGGAATTGAACCCTCAATTCTTGTGCTGCTGTGTGCTGCTGCAGATGCTGCTTATCACTGAGCTATCGGCACCTTCTTTGTCTAGGAAGAAATAGGAAAGACAAGGCAGAAAGAGAGGGGAAATTTTCTTCAGTCTTCAGAACTGTGAGCACTTGAAACTTGACCCAAAATACCATTTGTAATAAAGTAAAGAACTGTGGGTATTTGCAATAAAGTTAAATGCATTTGTAATAAAGTTTAAATGCAAATTGGGTCAGAATATCAGAAATTGAATACAGTTTTGAATGAATGATTTGAAAAAGTTACCTAATTTCATCAGAAATCGCGAAAAGATCGGGTTGCAGACGTTGTACCTTTGAGTTCAAGCAGATAATCGATGAGAGGCTGATCGAGCGAATCGATGACAATTGAGCTAATATATTGATTTAATAGCTAACAACAGAGAAAGCTGAATATCTTTAGTTTTTTTTATAAAAACCCTTATTCCATCTTTATAAAAATGGAAATGAAATTTTGGGGGTAGGCTAGTTTCCGCAACTTCTTTATTTGCGCAACTCGCATAACTTTCTTCTAAGTGGGCCAATCTTTATGATTTTGGTTTCATTTTGTTGTACTTATTGAGATCTACAAAATGAAACTAAAATCATAAAGATTGACCCACTTAGAAGAAAGTTATGGTGAGTTGCGCAAACGACCCAGTTGCGCAAACGACCCAGTCGCGCAAATGACCCTGTTGCGCAAATGACCCAGTCGCGCAAATGACCCTGTTGCGCAAATGGCCCTGTTGCGCAAATGACCCAGTCGCACAATGACCCTGTTACGCAAAAATTACGGAAACTAGCCTACCCCGAAATTTTAGACTGGAAAGAAGTTTGCGGTAAAATGAAATAGTCTCAAAGGAGCTTTCTAAAGGTTCACAAAAAATACTCAAAATACTTACCCAAGCTGAATCTCGTATACGGTAGATCGTTCCTCGAAATGGTGTCGATCGCATCGCTACCAGACGGGCGAATTGCTCGGCGATAAGGACAAGAAGCGGTTGGACCGATTGAGTGCTCCCTGAATTCGACGCTCTGACAGAATCCCGGCGAAAAGATCTGAGATTTGGATAAAAATGGATAATATTTTTTATAGATAACAAACCCTATATCGTCGGCGATTGACCATAGACACTCGAAAGAGTATCGATCGTCGATGGACCCACCTCATTGGAGAGCTCGGCGAATTCGGTCACTCGCTTTAGGCCACAGAGTTCTCTGAGTTGAAAAATTTACAAAAGCTTAGACTTGTGCTTGTTGGATCAAACGATCTTATCAAAAAAACTCCTTAAATTCTAAGCTATATCCTAAATAAACCTGTGATCATTGTACGGATTCACCCCATGATCTCTTCCTCGTTGTATATTAATTCGCTGGCAAGTCCATACCTGAAAAGTTCACAGTACCTCGATAAATTATGATACTTTATACAAATTGGATTCAATAACGCGATTTACCGGAAGTTGAATTCCCTCGCCGGACGAAGAGATGATTGCGAACCCCGTCGCTGACATGTCTGTCCATTTGCATCGCCGACGAACCCACCAAACCCAACACCAACGAGTCCAAGCCACCTCCAGGATATTCAGTTAAAATGCTAAGTTTAATTGAATTGAATTGAATTGGAGTGAATTGATCTGAATTGAATTGAATTGAATTGAATCCATTGAATTGAATTGAATTAAATATCTTTTCTCAATGAAAAGTTACAAAGATTCGAAGCAAACTAAAAAAGTAGTCATTGAGCTGTCGACTCTTCCCATTCATTAACACGTCTTGTATGCAAGCTGTCTACTGTCTACTGTCTACTGTCTACTGTCTAGTGTCCACTGTCTACTGTCTACTGTCTACTGTCTACTGTCTACCGTCTACTGTCTACATGTCTACTGTCTACTGTCTACATAAGCTTTTTAAATGTAAATTTATTTATAAAACTGAGTGCACCTGCTTTAAAGTTGAAAATCTCTTGTAATGAGTTGAAATTCTCGGCGATGTCGAGAGGCGAACTCCGATTATCGAAAGTCAGCATCGAGTCGATGGAAAAATCTATCATAGAATCAAAGATTTTTGTTTAAAACTTTAAGATAACAAAAAAATCCATTAAAGGCCAACATAATAAAGAAAACAGAGATTTCGCATAATGTCAAACCTTTTTGACCATTGAGTGCCCAAAACGGTAGGCGGCTGTGGCAAAAGGATGTAATACACTGAGAAGCGTCGCATGAATCACAGTCGTAATCCTAGAATTTTAGGTAGGAAAATCAACTGATAAAATCACTTTTGAAATGTCCGCTTTCTCCGCATTCAACGCGTATTTTCGCATTTGTTTATGGCTGATGATTTTCGGGAGAACTCCGAGGAAGATGATGCTTTGAAGCGAGAGCGCCGATGATGCGACGAGTTTCCTAGGAATTTTTCTCTTTTTTCAGTTACTGAAGGGGTTTTCAATGAGGCAACCGTGCGTATCTAACTATCTTGTCACATTTTGAGCATGAATCTTTAAAAGTTACTGCAATTTCCTAATGAATTTCCACGTCTGACCTTCAGAAGTACATGGTGAGAGAAGTATCTAGAGGGTCTTTCTGTAGGTTACAGTAACCCTTTGGTTACTGCAACTTAAAGAAAGATACTGTGAAAGCTGTGAACTGTGAGCTGTGAAAGCTGTGAGCCTGTGAAAGCTGTGAGCCTCGTTCAAGTATGCTAATGAAGGTTTGCTCTGAAAGATCTTCTCGTCACCCCAGTGAGCATTTCTTTGTGACAACTCGTCGGCGATTCTGTTGTGCTCTCGCAAAAAATATTGTGTGCAACGAGGCCAGGGTGGGCACTTGAGAGTTACTGATCATCACCTAACAATTTTCAGGTTTAAATACCCAATTTTTTTCATCAACACACCTGCTCTAAAGCAAGGGAATTCCCGGCCCGATGTCGACAGTCAGGATCGTCGGGATTTGGTGGCGTGGAAATCTCTAAACAGTATGCCATTTAGTTTTCCAATTTTAGGTTACTTGCAAGTCCGTTCTGCTAAGTTTAAAGGGTAATTTTAAGATCGATTAATCAATTTCTAAATTTCTACTCATTTTTCAAATCACAAACCTTTTTCCATGAGTTTTGAACGCGTTGAGTTTCCCTCCAAAAACCGAGCGCAGTCGATCAAGCTGCGTTTCGTTGAGCCATAGATCTGCGAAGCGTCCAGGAAAGATGTTATCTATGATAGTATTATTTTAGAGAAGATTTCTCTAATTTCTCAGTTCTACAGCAACAATATTTGTTAGCTTTCAGAGATTCGGTACTTGGGTGATTTGATTCCTGTATCCAAGAGTGGTCTGTCCGGGCAGGGTTCGAGTCGTACAGGGAGACATTTCGGCCGTCCGTTCTCGATCGATGGGAAAAACGGGTCATCGGGCGGGATCGCGATCGAGGATGCAGTCTTCTAAACTTGTAAACTGACAAGGAAACGTCAACTGGATGTGCTGGCCACTGATCATGGGCCATAGACCATTCAACGCAGAATTTCACGCTGAAAAAAGGCTGAGCTACCGGACTCGAGCCAGGCAGCCCTCGACTTGCGTCCCAACTCGACTACCACTGCGACTGCTGCGGACAGGTCACCGCTGCGACTGTTGACCCCGCGGAAGACACAGCCACGGTTGTAATGTCGCGGTTTGATTTTTGAAATTTGTTATAAAACTAAATGCTTATAACTTTTGACAAGGGTGCTCCGTAGCAAAAAGAAAAGCAGTATCATGATCAGCGTGAATTTCTGCCTCGGATGCTATGGCTCATTTGATTTGGCACATTCAGTTGACATTCTCTATGAGTGTCAGGGTGTGAGGCCTGCTTTTAACCTTATCAAACGGGGATATGCGTCCTACAGTCAAATTCAGTGGTGGAGGAACCATGGTTTGGGGTTAGTAAATGTTTTTTAGATTGTGCTTAATTCTGTCTATATTATTTAGGTTCAGTGTCATCGTCCGACGTTGGTCCGCTAGTCTTGATAGACGCTATTCGGCTATTCTACAACATGATTTTGTTGCAGAATAGCCGAATAGCACAAAGGATTAAACGGGTTTTTTGCCTAAAAACACTCACAACATAACAAAAGCACGCAACACTCAAGCATAAGGTTAATGCTCGTGATACGAGTACACAGATTGACGCGCTTCGCTCCGATAGCAACTCCAAATATTAGCAGATTCTTTCTATAATGCTAAACTCAATAAATAGAATTTAGTATCTTAAGGATTGTAAAGTAATTGAATTTATGCATTTCACAATTTATTAGTACAGAAAGGCAGAAAGGGCTTTTGCTAGCTTGATTTTCAGAAGCTATTCATTTTCTCCACACTTCTCCACAGAATGAGACGGCGACGAAATCAAATGCAAATAGGAACGTAATTTTTGAAGGGAACGGACTGGAATATTGTCAAAAACCCGTTTACTCAGAATCGTACCAGAAACAGTCTCTCTCGAGTCACACGGCGCAACAATCCGAGCGTGCGTCCTTCGGGCGCTGTCGCTGATGGAGACAAAGGAGAATGTCGTGAGTTGATGAACTGCACCGAATTGCATCAACTGATAGTCAGTTTATGTCTTTCAACTTTCAACTTTCAACGGACCATATGCATGTACTCCTGATGTTCATTTGAAGTTCTGTCGAAACATTCGAGATTCGAGATTGGTCGTGCGTTTGGCAAGGGATGACAATAGGTTGATCTCCATCGTGGCTCATCGAATCCTAAATAGATTTTGGTTTTCTCCATGAACGTAATAGGATATTTTAGGCATTGTTAAAAGTATGTTAGCATGTTGCGATTACCTAACATACTAACATACATTACTCCTAGTGATCTGCTAAGAATCTCCTAGTGATCTGCTAAGAAACGGGTGAAGAAAACGATGATAAAATTGGGCTCAGTCTGGAATTTTCTATATCTAAATTATAGCAATTGACAGCAGTAACACTTTTAGCAGACTATTGAACTTCAATGAAAATCGAAGAAGATGGTTTTTCCTGTCAATATTGTAGTCCTGTAGGTACTGCAAGTGTCGTAAAGTATTGTACTTTATGTACATATGTCTATACATATGCTGGCAATAATGAAACCTTTCATAGTACTTTGATTATACTTTAATTTTACAAAGTACATGGAAAGTTATAGGTTGTTAGGCATTTTTGAAATACTTGAATCAATCTCTAAAATATAGACCAAACAAAATTTTGATTTTCATATTAATTTTCAGTTTCTTTCTTGTTGTTCGAAACGGTGCTAGGCGTGAAAAAGAAAGTCAGCTTACAAAGCTTAGACTTGTGCATGTTGGATCAACTTAATTTGACCATAATTTGACAAAATCATGTACTGATTCATCATCTGTCTTTCAGCACCTCAGGATCAAAGATTGGTCAAAGAGTCATATTTTTAGCTCGCGTGCCATCCTTGCAACCTCTTCAAAGCCCTTGGAAACTCTAAAGCTAAAGGTAATCAAAATTGTGTGTGCTCAATATTCTAGAGTTTGTTTCAAGCATTTCAAAAATGTATAACCTTTCCGTATACTTTGTAAAATAAAAGATCTATAAATAATAAAAGATATAATAAAAGATCTAATCATTATTGTCAACCAAATAATGACCATCATCATAAGCGGGTGGTAAGAGTCGTCGCATCGGTCGAAACGCGTTTCCATAGTGAGGCTGACGGAGATTGTTGCACCAGCCAGAAAATGATCTAAAGAAAAAGAGACCGATGACAAGATTTTCGAATAGGATGATGATGATGGTCATTATTTGTTCTACCCACCGATAAGCGGTCGTCGGATCGCAAGGCAACACCGTATCCACACACTGATCACTCGTCGTATTCCCGTGAAAGCCAAAAATCCACGACAAATTTCCGAGGATGCTAGATGGAAATAAGAAAATCATTGATTTGCATGGTAAAAATATTACGGCTGAACATCGATTTGCATGAGGATTTTGTGGATTCCATTAGGGTTGAGGCTGTCTCGCGGAAAAATGAAACCATCATCAAATGGATGACCGTTGAGTAAGAGACGGGTCGACTAAACAGGATTGGATTTGAAATCGGAATTTGAAAAGTACCATAATTATTCTAATAGAGAAGCAAGTCCGTCTATTCTCTTCAGAATTCTTTTCACCTTTCCAAATATTTGGTACATGCATAAGAATTTATATATAGTTATCCTTTTTTTTTAAATCTTCAATTTTGGGAAGCTAACTCTACTTTGACCACACTAAACTTGTCCCTAAAGTGACTCGATTCCTTTTTTGGTCACTCGCATTTCGCCCTCGAAATTTCTTCAATGATTCGATCAATTGAAACACGTTTTAGCCTATTTTGTAGAGGAGATTTACAAGTTTCAAATATTAGGTTGATGCATAAGTGTTTTTGTTCCTTTTCGTCTGCCGTTTCAAGCCAACAAATGCACGAATTAAACTACGGTTGATTTCATTAGAAAAAGCAATTATTTTTCTGCAAAATAACATTAAAACGGGTTTAAAAATATTTAATGCCTGGATTTTCTTGAGAGTATGAAGTCGGGTAGTCAAAAAGGGCTAACTCGATGATGCGGTTTAGACACCTTAGCTAAAGAAAACCTATCTTCGTGTCAATAGATAAAAGATAGAGAAAAAAAAACGTTTGATATTTCGCCAAAATTTCAGAGAAATTCATTCAGCCAATTTTTCCGTAGAGTTTTTTATAGATTTTTACGAAAAAGGCGTTTTTCACTCTCGAATTTGCTTGAAAGTGAACCGAAATTCATTTAAAAAGATGCAAATTGAACAAAAAAACACTTTTTTTTATAGAGCAAACTATAGATTAATTGGTGAATTTGTTACTTTTTAACAGAAGTACGAAAAAAACGAAAAGACTTATGCATCAACCTAATAGTTTACATTCAAATAGTATAACATTCATCGATATCACGTTTCTATCGTTGGAAATTTATGAAAATGTTGAAATCCGCATTTCTTAGGCATGTACCTAATAATAGAGACGGGTCGACTAAACAGGATTGGATTTCAAATCGGAATTTGAAAAGTACCATAATTATTCTAATAGAGAAGCAACTCTGTCTTTTCTCTTCAGAATTCTTTTCACCTTTCCAAATAGCTTTAAAAAAGTGTGTGTTTTATCCGTTTTCGGTATCAGTTGCAGTTACAAAGTTTTGGATTTGAGTTTTTGAAACTACAAAAAAAAAGAGTTAAGATTTTCACTTTAAAAAAGTACTCTCTTTGATAAGTAACAGAGGGAAATAGAAAGAAATAGAAAGAAATAGAAATAAATAAAAATAAATACAGAAATATATTAGTGAACCTGTAGCAAGAGTCGGCTCACTCGAGACACCGCAATCGCTTCCGATTTGGGTCGCGTGAAGCGACCGTAAAGTGAGATTTGCGGTGACAAGTTGAATGCTGAAATCGAATTCATTCTTTAATCTCCATTCAAATTGAAATCCTTAAATCTCATTTTACTCTTTTCAGCGATTCGATGATCTCTTTGTCGAATCTCTTTCTCGGCCTCATCAAACACTTTTCGACACGATGAACTGGGTAACTTAAACAATATTTTATATTGCTGTTGCTATTGCTTTAATAGAAATGAAGTTTAATTCAAGCTCAAATAAAATTTCTCTTTTTTTTTTGATTTTAAAAGTATCCAATTCTTACCGAAACCTCTCGATGCAGTTCATCCTCTTTCCAAAAGCTCAAATCAATGATTGTACTTGAAAGATTGCAATGAAGAGGAGCATTGCTGAAAAAGATAACGAAGATTTCATACTTTTAATAATTCAATCTTCTTAATACTTCTATTTTTAATATAAGTAATAATATTTTCTCACTCAAAATGATCGGATAGAAGAAAAGCCGATGGTTGTACAAAAGCCACCTCTTCGCTTAAACAAAGAAGACTGAAAATTGGAAAAAAAACGTTATTTTCTGTTGTTTTCCAACAAAAATTCGGAATATAAACAAACAAAAAAGGTTATAAAATTTGAAAAACCGGGGGTGGGACAAATGCGACCTTTGTTTTGCGCACCTGGACATTTGCGCACCTTTTTTTTTGCTGGAAAAGGCCTTAGGAAAGGTCGTAGAGCTTAGGTCAAGACCGTAGGTCGTAGAGCTTCAAAAATGTTTTCATAGAAGGGAATCGTATGCGTAGATTCCGAATTTCGACAAATCAGACCTATCTAACACGTCAAATTTGGGCTAAAAGGCAAAAACTACGCCACTTAACGCTTTTCCGCAGTTTTTGCCTTTTAGACCAAATTTGACGTGTCAGCGAGGTGTGATTTGTCGAAATTCGGAATCTACGCATACGATTCCCTTATATGGAAATATTTTTGAAGCTCTACGGCCTTTCCTAAAGCCTTTTCCAGCAAAAAAAAGGTGCGCAAATGTCCAGGTGCGCAAAAAAAAGGTCGCATTTGTCCCACCCCCGAAAAACCAACTTTGCAACGGTAAACTTTTTGATTTCCGCGATTTGAAGGCTCGTGAAAGCCGTCGGTGCAAGACTTGAATCATACCAAAAACGATCGGAAAATTTCAGCTAAAAATGATTTTAAAAAGGATCGCTTTCACACAATTATCAATCTTATTGATATTTTTTTTTGCATAAACCTTTATAAATTGTTTCTCAAGAATGCAGGCTAAAGTCGGGCCAACGATCGCTCCATTCAGCGATTTTTCCACAAAAACTCCACTCAACAAATCGATATCTGATTTTGAAAATTTTAGATTACCTATTTTCTTTCTTACAATCAATTTTGTGATACAAATTTTTGAGAGAGTTGATCGATCGATGGGGTGAAATGAATTCATCGGAGAAATCAACAAAATGAGAAATCTAAAAGTGATCGGAATTTGTGGGATTTCTACGGCCCAGTAGAAACATTTCGCAGCATATTTCGCTATAATACAGTGAAACCGAAAAGTACTAGTACTAGTACATACTTAGTAACATCTATAGAGTGACCTAAGCCTAAGCCTAAGCCTAGTCCAAGCCTAAGCCTAAGCCTGAGCCTAAGCCTAAGCCTAATTCTTGAGAGAGTTGATCGATCGATGGGGTAAAATGAATTCATCCGAGAAATCAACAAAATGAGAAATCGAAAAGTGATCGGAATTTGTGAGATTTCTACGGCCCAGTAGAACAGACCCCCTAACGGTGGGCTGCTTCAGAAATCATAAAAATGATTGCCAGAAACGAAAAACCAAACATATTCAAGGTATTATAATTGAATCTCCTTAGTCGCGATAAAGATATTCAGTCATCTGTGTACTTTTTATTTCGCTATAATACAGTGAAACAGAAAAGTACTAGTACTAGTACATACTAGTAACATCTATAGAGTAACATCTATAGATGTGACCTAAGCCTAAGCCTACGCCTAACTGGCTGAGATCCAGAAAATGGGGGTTTAGCCCAAACCCAAATAGACTTAGTGCGAGGCGCTAGCCGCTAGCCTTCGCACTGAGTCCAAGCCTAAGCCTGAGCCTAAGCCTAAGTCCAAGTCCAAGCCTAAGTCCAAGCCTAAGCCTAAGCTTAAGCCTAAGCCTGAGCCTATAGAGTAACAAAACACAATCTATAGACGTACCTTTTTCAAACCACACTCATTTCTCCATGAATCATAAGAGGGTAATCCATGATCTCTTCCGATGAAAATTCCCTCAACGAATAGATGAAGATGATGAGTGGATGATTCAAATAAAAGGGAATCAGGGAAATCAATCGATGAGAGACTTGAAGCAGAATCGCTCAAAAGTTGTCTGGAAAAATAAAGAAAATATTCAAGAGTTTATTTTTAATGTTACAGCATTTACAGTGGTCCACAAATGTATTGTCCCATTGCCATCCAAAAGTTTCCTTCGTACGAAAATCTTGCAAAATAACGATATTCCCAAAAAGTGTAGGGTATTTTGCTTACCCATAATACTCTACTTTTCAGGATTATAAGATTTATCCGTATACATTGCAGAAAAATTAAAGTATAAAACCAAAACAATAAGTTACTTAACAAATAGCTCCACAAAAGTAATGTCCCATTGATGTTTTCCTTGATTATTCTTTTTATTTTTGCTTTCTATGAACATTAAATGTATTTTATTTTATTATTTAGATGACTGGCAAGAAAAACCTTGACACTCCAACGAAGCTCCGAATCGCCAAGGCCCGGGAAAATGGGATGCGGGAAAAGGATGTGGCCAACCTCTTCAATTGCTCGATAAGGACGGTGCGCCGCATTCTTTCTCAATCAAAAGTCTACCGAAACCTTCATCGAGGCCTCAAGAGTGGCCGACAACCAATCACAACCACAAAAGAAGATCGAGCCGTGATCCAAATGGTGAAAAACGATCCTAACAAAACATCAACCGATGGAAGCCAAATGATGAGGGATCAATTTAACAAGGTTGTATCGCCGGAAACGATCAGACGACGATTAAATCAAGCTGGATTATTTGCAAGAAGGGCTGCCCGTAAACCTCTGACAAATTCTAAGCACCGGAAGCAGCGCCTTGACTTTGCACGGACCTACCGAAGTTGGACGACACGTGATTGGGCGAAAGTATTATTTACCGATGAGACAAAAATCAATTTATTTCACGCGGATGGAAACCATCTTATTCGGCGACCAACTGGAAGGCGATACTCACTCAAGTACATTCGGCCTACCGTGAAATTCAACGGTGGAAACATAATGTGTTGGGGTAAGAACCTTTTTAGTATTTTGTCACCTGACTGTTTTTCTTTAGGAGCGATGTCACGAACTTCAGTAGGTCCATTAGTTCACGTCAACTCAACGATGGATGCTGTGGCCTACAAGAACATTATGGAGACTCAAATGCTTCCTTTTGCAACTCGAACCATGCCTCCTGGATGGATGCTCTACCAGGACAACGACCCGAAACACAAGTCGAGACTGAAGATGGGACGGCTGGTGACACTTCAAAATGGTACCAGAGCTCGTCTGCCCGGATGGTTTGCGGCAAATCGTGTTAAATTGATCAATCCACCTCCCTACTCACCGGATCTCAATACAATTGAACATTTGTGGTCATTTGTGAAGTCGCGCCTCAAGGGAAAGAAATTCGATTCGAAGGCCGCCTTATGGGTTCACATTCAACGTCTTTGGGCCACCATCCGCCCAAGTCTTTTGAAAAATCTCGTGGATTCCATGCCGGAACGACTCAATGAAGCGATAAAAGCAAAAGGAGGACCAACCAAATATTAATTTTTTGAAAAAATTGTTAATTCTTTGCAAATGGGACATTACTTTTGTGGAGCTATTTGTTAAGTAACTTATTGTTTTTGTTTTATACTTTACTTTTTATGCAATGTATACGGATAAATCTTATAATCTTGAAAAGTAGAGTATTATGGGTAAGCAAAATACCCTACACTTTTTGGGAATATCGTTATTTTGCAAGATTTTCGTACGAAGGAAACTTTTGGATGGCAATGGGACAATACATTTGTGGACCACTGTATAAGCAGTGATAGCTAAAGTTGCTCACTCTATGGAAGATTGGGAGACATCGTGCAGATCGGTGGGATGTCTTAAAGCAAAAATAATCTAAATAATATTTATATAGCTTTAATTCTATAGTTGATTTATATCTACAAACGACTATTATCAGGCAGCTTTAGTAAGAAAGTTACCGTTTTTTTGAGTGCTTCTATTTCCGATAAAGTTCCGCCACGCTCATTTTGATCATAGTGATATTCAGAGTCGGGAAGAAGCTTCTAAAAAATATATGTCGTAGCCGATTATGAATGAAATTTTTTGGCAAATCTTTCTAGTAGAGCAACCCTTTAATGTATGAGGACAATATTATATCATCTTGTAGCGAATTAAATTCTGCGTCGATTGGTACCAAATTTGTGAGTTTCGGTTAAAAATTACCGGCGCTACAACGTTTCATTCAAAATCGGCGGGACCCCCGTAGCCGATTATGAATGAGTGGGTCTAGGAGCGTCCGACCATCAAGTATTTGGTATCATTCAACGCAGAATCATTAATAATTATGTTAAATTTTTTAAATTAGCAAGATTTGATAAAAAGAAAAAAAATTAGAGCAAAAAAACTGTTTGTTCAAGAGGAAACTTTGAGGCCCCATAATTTTTTTTCTTTTTATCCAATCTTTCTAATTTTAAAAAGTTAACATAATTATTAATGATTCTGCGTTGAATGATACTAAACACTTGATGGTTGGACGCTCCTAGACCCACTCGTTCATAATCGGCTGAAATTCATAATCGGCTACGACATATAAAAGGTAATTCATGATATAGATAAGAATTTGCTAATATTTAAAAACCTTAGAAGCTATTTCTCTGCCTAAGAGAAGCGGCAACATTTCGTTGTATGTGAGGTGTTGAAGAAGAGCGCCGATGATTTTCCGTGACTCTTCGAACAGTCTCTCATCCGTCCAACTTGGGTTGATTCTCTGGAAAAAATTGATTTTAAAAAAACTGAAAGAGTTGTGTTTGTCTTGACTGCGGTTTACGCTAGCTTTTTCCAGTTTTTTCCGAAATTCTTTTCATCAAGAGTATACAGGGTGGCTGATAATTACGTGCGCCAAAGAAAACGCCATAATTTAATTTTCTTTCAAAGAAAATGTAAAAATCTTTATTTATATAGTAGTTGTAACAAAAGCATTTAATAATCACAAGAAATTTTCGAAGTGGCCTCCATCCGCTTTGATACAGGCTTCAATTCGCTTCTTTACAGAATCGACGGTGCGGCGGAGATAATTTGCATCTAAGTCGTTCTAGATTTTGATCAATTCTCGACGTAAATCATTCAAATTGGTGATTTTTCTATTTCTCAATTGTTCTTCCATAAAACCCCAAACCGAAAAGTCCAACGGATTGAGATCCGGGCTGTTTGCAGGCCATTGATCCTTCGTCAAAAAAGAGCCAATTTTGGTTTCGAGAAAGCGAATTGTTGTTTTGGCTCCGTGGGCCGGCGCCCAATCTTGTTGAAGGGTCAAATTGGGATGGCTCCTCTTCCATGGCACGACAGCTTTCTCGAGAATCTCTTTTTGATAGACTTTTGCGTTAATCTTCACATTTTTATCGATAAAAACCAACGGGGTCTTGCCCGAAGCACTGATGCCACCCCAAACCATCAAACTTTTTGGAAACAGACCTTTTGTAGCGACTTTTCGTTTACGAGTGCTCTTGAGAGCTGGACTGAGAAGTTGAAGGTGATTTTGTGAGTTTTTAGCCACTTCCAAGGTGAAAATCTTCTCATCTGACCAAAGAACATCGTCAATGCGCCGCACCTTGAAAAAAGCTCGCAATTTCTTGCATTTCTCCTTCCGGTTTTGCTTGGCTTGATCGGTGAGCACTTGCCCGTTTAACAGTCGATAACTTCGAAGTCCGAGCTCATTTTTCACTATCGATTGAACCGAGAAACGCGAAATTTGAAGCTGTTTTGCCATCTTGTTCAAACTACGATCGTCTTTTCGCTCGATCCTCCTCTTGATGATCCCACGCATCTTTCGGGTGTTAACGGTCCTCTTTGGTCCTCTTCCGGGCTTGGACTGAACATGCCCCTCATCTTTCCATTGCTTTACGATCTTCTGGACGGTCCTCAGAGCCACCCCAAGCCTCGATGCGATCGACGAGTTCTTCATGCCGCTCGTCGCCAGCTGTGCGATTGCGTCCCGACTAGCGCACGTCTTTGTCATGACCTAGAAAACAACTTTTTTAACAAAAAATTATTAGACCACGATAAAAAGAATATTAAAACACAAAAAGATGAGTAGTAATGCTTTATACATTGTTTAAAACTATGATGCTGATGCTGCGCGCACGTAATTGTCAGCCACCCTGTACAGCGGGAACTATGGTAGGCGCATCTTTCGGCGCATCTTTCGATGCCAACTTTTTCTAAAAAGCTAGTGCATGGGCACTAAAAACATAAATAAATTGAACTATAATTCTTTTAATTCTTACCAGTAATTGAACTTTTAAAGATCCTCAGAATAGAGAATTTCTTCTTCAGAATAGAGAATAGAGAACCCACCAACAACTCGCTGGCAATCTTATTGTGTGCTTTTGCAAAGACATTTTTCAGCATTGCCATTTGATGAAGGCTTAATTTGAGTTTGACCCTAAATTTTTCATAAAATCTAATCATTTTTTTTCCACCTGAAGCCTTCCACAAAGAGTCCTCTTTGTATGCATTTCGGCAAGAGAGGAATTCCCATAGATTGTGCTCGCATCAAGATATCCGCTCACCATATTCACTTGTTCTCTTTCGATCGGATGACAATCTTTTGAGGGAATTGCAAGACTTCGAGAGTATGAAGAACATGAGGGAATCCTGGAATTTCATCTTTAAATTGCCTGAAGTTTCATCTTGCTTGAATTTTGAATAATTAAAAATAGTCTAAAGTCGATCATCTTTCCAACTTACATATCATCTTTTGTCGAATGAATACATTCAGGAGAATTGCTACAGCAACTCGAAGAACCCATCACTGAAAAAGGATCTTTTTAAGAAGGATTTCGTAATTTTAAAACAATTCTCATTTGTATATGGAGCTCTTCTAGAGATATCGTCGAAGACAAGCGAGAGAAATTCCGCGAAAAGACGGCTGATCGGAAGAGATTTAGGTGAAGAAAGCTGAAATCGTTATTTTACATATCTTGAGTTACGGTGTTGAGGATAACGAATAGAAAACAAGAGATTCTTCACCTTTTCGAGTTGATTCACGACCAGGAATGGATCTGGGAGACGTTTTTGTCGAGCAGCACTCAAGCCTAAAAATTGGGAACCCCTTTCGTCAGCGCTTTGATTCAACGGTGAAAGTTTTTTTTGCTAAATTGACATTAAAGTGATTTCATTCTATAGTTAAGGACAATTTCAATAATGCTACTTTTTATCAAGTCAATATCAATATCTCAAAACCGCGCACCATCGTCGTAATTCGGTGGCAACACACGGAGAAATGGTTCGAGTGAAGCGCCCCATTCTGGATGATCTACATTATTGCAGCCACCAGCTGGGGTCCTGAATATGCAAAAATTTTTTCTTAGAATCCTTATCAAAAGCTTTGCCTATCCTGTGGCTACTGTAATCCCACCGAAATCTCCCGGGTGCACACTGAAATTTCCGTTGTGGGCAAATCTTGCGCAGCTCTTCAGCGTCGCCTTTCGAAATTCGATTTCTGAATGTTATTTAATTTTCTTGGATATAAATCAATTTATATATCAAAGATATTTCAAATTACTATACTGTAGGTTATGAAATTCTCACCCATTCGCCCTCCGTGCCACCTCCTCGGCCACCAGAGCGGCGAAAGCTGAATTGCGAGAGATTTTCACCGATGTGAGCACATCTTTGAAGAAATCTGAAAGAAATTGAGCAATTTTAGATATATACCTAGCTTAGCAAATGATAGCTGGTAATAAAAAAAATTATCCAACCAAAAGGAAATCCTTGATAAGTCGCATTGAACCATCTCTCAACACTCGAGATAGCATCCCAGACCCGGCCTCTAGAGCGATCTAAAGCTTCAATTTCACCGATGTGTGCACATCTTTGAAGAAATCTTTATGGCGTATAACTTTATGATGAAAATCTTATATTGATATATTGATAGCACCGAGATTTATTTCTTAACTTCCGAACTTCTTAACACTAGTTACGGTACTTTAATTGGGTCAAAGATTACGCTAGCCGAGGAGCTGAGGCGAGCTTTAGAACTGCTATCCAAGTCGGCGTTTGGCGAAAGTTCGCAAGTTTTTTTATATGAACACAACAAAGTTTAGATGAACCTTTTGCGTGAAACGGATGAAACTCGAAATCGTGGTGTCGCCAAAAGTGATGGTGGTGTTGAGCAAATGCGCTCAGAAAGAAGAAAAATATCCATAAATGACTCATGAAATTTTTGAGGAATTTAACGTAATAATATGTAGAGAATCAAAAAGTGAATACTCTCTAGGTTCTTCTCATTCTCAGTCTTAATTGTCTACCGGTTTCGTCAAAAAAAGAAAAGAAAGGGAAAAGTTTTGTGTGAATGAATGGATGACAGAGTCATTCTCTTGTTTCCCTCCTTTTCTTCTCAATATCATTTTTCCATCATTTAGCTTCAATCAGAAGAAATGTCTGCCCTAGAAAATAGGCAATTATTTTTTGATTGACAATTGAGAATTTGATTTGCTGCAAGTAAACGATGAATCATGGGGCTGATAGAAGCAAAAATTACTCTAAATTCAACTTTTTGAGGTAGGCTAGGGTTTAATTTTTGACTTCAAACAGGTTAATAAAACTTTTTTTGTTAAATTTAAAAAAAACAATTATTGAAAAAAGATGATGATTGTATCTTTGTTAAACGTCCATTTCCGGAAAAAAAGTTAATCATTTAATTCTGCATGCAAAGAATTTAACATCAAATATACCAATTCCAGATACAATCATTTATTGGGCACAGACGACACAATCAAAATGGATCACAAACGAGCTCACGTAGGGAAAGCATTTACACAGAATTCGAAGAAAAATGATTAGTTGCAGAAGAGATAGAACTTAGTGGAGCCGCGTTGATTGTCAAAAGCTTGCCCTTCACATCTTATTCTCCCAATCGTAGGGGAGTTCCTAAAGAAAAAACTATGCATAAAACTTTAAGGTGAACCATACCTTCACACCGTTGGACGTCAAAGCCCTGCGAATAGTCCTGTAGCAATATTGATAGTCGGGAGCATCGTAGTACTTAAGGTTGTCGATGTGCGTCATCAATTCGCGATATTCATAGGGGCAACCAACAAACAGCTCGTTGATGGCGGTGTTGTGGCAGCGCTTCTTGTATTCTCCCACCTAAAATCCAATATTAAACGAGAGAGCCAAAAGCATCTTTACCTGGTGCATGTCTTGGATGTTCTTCCAGGGCAGATTGCCGGTTGTGAGTTCGACTAGCATGTAGAGCCAGCTTTCGACATCATCCTAAAGTTAACATCATCTACTATATATAAAAGGCAAGTGTCTGTCTGTCTCAGCACCCAGATCGAATTTCGGAGTACCCTTTTCTTTTTAGATTGGTAATATTATGCTGAAGCCTCCCGCAAAAAAAGAAAATCGTCTACTTTTTTGAAACTCAAAAAACAGCTAAACCGCTGGTTGAAGCAATAAAGCCATAAAGTTACCTTGCGACAGAGTTCACGTTGAAGATGGCACGAGATAGGCGCGTAACGGACGGTTCCTCGAAATCCGGCAGCGGCACGTGGCTTGCGGATGATTCCTTGCTCGTTGGTGAATTTGCGGGCCATTCCGAAGTCGAGCACGTAGATCTTGCGCAATTCGTCCAACCCGATTCGACCAATCGTGTAATTACCGGGTTTCACGTCTCTAAGCAAGAAAAAAATTGAAAAATGTCATAAATCCAAGTTTATACCTGTGAAGATAACCGATTGCGTGAAGATCCTCAAGTCCCTCAAGTGCTTGGATTCCACAACCAATAGCCGTGCCAAGTGACATGTGTTGACCGGGTCCCTCTTTGCGTAGATCTTGAAGCGATTTCCCGACGAGCGTCATCACCACATAGTTGAATGTCCCATAGCGTCCCTTGTCGTGGATCTTGCAAAAATGACGTCCACCGCGCTTGCCCAATTCGGTCAACACGAACACTTCCATCTTGAGCACCTAAAAAAAATGAATGGGTAAATAGGAACAAAATTATAAAACAAAAAACAACTTGCCCACCTGAATCTGCTCGTTGACACCCTCCACTTTCAGCGCATATTGGCCGGTTGAATCAGAGACTTTGTAGACGGCACCGAAACCTCCCTCACCCAACTTCTTCTCGATTTTCCATCGCTCGACCTAAACGGCAAAGATTGTTTGTTAAAGTTGCAGAAACCAAAAAATTCTAGATCTTTATTCATGGATTGTCTTAGTACCTAGATTCATTCAAAAGCTCTTCTCTTACTACAATACAAAACATAAAGTAAAGCCAAAATAATGTAAACTTTTCAAAAATTAAAATAAAGCTAAATATGCCTAATCCGGACCAATTCAAAATCAAAAGTTAAAGTCCAAACCAAAAAAAACCACAAAATGATACCTGAGTCCCGGGTTGAAGCTGGATGAGTTCTTGAGCCATGATGAAACCAGTTGCTGAAGAAAGTAAAGACGAATGATGATTTCCGTTCGCTCGGATTCGCTATAAGGAAGAGAACAAATGCAAATTTTAAAAAATTTCGAATTTACTAATATTTATTTTGAATTCGCCAACGTGCACTCAAACTTTAGGCTTTTTTTGTTTTCACGGGAGTGGGACAAATGCGACTTTTTTTTTGCGCACCCGGACATTTGCGTTTTAAAAAAGCTCTAAAAGGCTAACATTAACCAATTTCTATTCCAAAAGTTGTTTTTCTAGGTAATTTTAGGGCGTAGAATCGAAATTTTGACATATCAGAGCTTGTGGAAACAAACGGACGGAGTTTTATACAAAGAGAAAAATCGACAATTTTCTGTAATTTGATCTGGCCGTTTTGTCTTTCAAATTGGTTCCACACGCTCTGTTATGTCAAAATTTGAATTCGACACCCTCAAATTACCTAGAAAAACAACATTTGGAATAGAAATTGGTTAATATTAGCTTTTTAGAGCTTTTTAAAACGCGAAAAAAGGTGCGCTAATGGGCAAGGTGTGGAAAAAAAGGTGCGGAAAAAAGGTGCGCAAATGCCCGGGTGCGCAAAAAAAAAAGGTCGCATTTGTCCCACTCCCGTTTTCACTTTTTATTTTGACATTTGTTTGCCATAAATACTCTAATAGCTCCCCTATAGGAGCGTCGTGTAGTCTAAGTTTACTCCCAAACAAACGCTCATATCTTGACACCAGAACGTTTGTTTCTGCGCGTTTAGGTATCAAATTAAAGTAGAGAATATGGGTGATTTTTAAGATATAACATATATTTTTAGCATTAAGAAGAGCTTAGAAAAAAGATGATTAAAAGGTGGCAAAAAAGCCGATTTCTTATCATTTTTCAATCATTTTATTCTAAGCGCACAGAAACAAATGTCTGGGCGCCGAGATATGAGCGATTCTTAAACTCTACGCGACGCTCCTATAGGAGTGCTATTAGAGTATTTATGGTATATGTGTTTCTTTTAGGCAACGGCTCATCACCTCATCAGTGAAACGCAAGCCAGAATTGAGCCCTACAAGCAAGATTTCGTGAGCACGGTGCAAGCACTCGATGACGTGGTCACTCCATAATTTGTGGTCTTTCAGGTACTTTGACAAGAATACTATTATTTTTTATTTTTATTAAACGTATCCTTTAGACACTCGCATGGGCCTCGGCTCTTGTGTTTGCGGCGAACATCTCCTCGTATGTGTCGGCCTATCTCCACACTCCCGTCCTCTCGTATGCTATCGCTGGATTTGCCGCTGGGCTTTTCCTTGCTTTAGCTGCTGTTCCCGCTTACGCCTATTATCCGATTCAAAATGTATTTTTTTAAACCAGTCTCACCTATTTAACTTTTAGGATTTGACTTCTGGCGCACAAGACGTAGCATTTCGTTTCCGCCTTCTTGCCTTTGCTGTTGTCCAGGGATTACTTGTCGGCTTTATTCTTTAGGTAAATTACCTTTTCTGAATACATTTCACTTGAATTTTCTAGAATTCCAACCTTTCGGCAGCTCCATTGTCAGCTGTTTTCTTGGCAATCATAGCCGTCACTTATTTGGAGGCAATCGTCAGGTTTATTTTTGGCATTTCTTGACCGAATATCTTTCATTTAGCTTCTCTTGGGCGGATCAGTCGGTGTCTCGGTCGGTGTAACGCTTGTGTTGGGGCTTCTCTCGGGTTACTTCACTCTTCCCTACTTGGTGTTCACTAATCTTTATGGAACGATCGCTGCCGTCACTTTGCAATACCTCTACAAGAATGTCTGATCCGAAACGGTACCTTTTATATTTGTTGTGGCCTTGTCATTCAAATTGATATTTCAAAAGATCTTTTTTAAAGGTTCCCACTCATCAATACCAATTGGCTCTCCTCATCGCTTTTACTACCGCCAATCTTGTCATTCGATCACTCATTTGATCTTCGGAATGGACGCTGAGGTATACGCTCAATACAAGGAAAGCCACAAATATTAGCGTAGGACATTTTATTATATGATATATTGGTGCTCTGTTCTAATTTTATTTAGTGTCCAATCTTTTGGATCTATCATCCATTCTCCGTGAATCGGCCCTTCCTCTTCATCAAAGACACGAACACTTTTCCATGATTGGACAAATAAATATCTTTTGTTTCTTTCCTTTGTGTTAAAATGTTTACGCCTCAAACAAAACAAAAATTTTAATTGTTTTGAAAGGTTTATCTTTTTATTATATTTTTTTGAAATTGAATGTGAAACAACCCTGATATGAATTAAACGAAAGGGGAAAGTATTGAGAAATTCTGTTGGCGTTTAATGGTAGATCATTTGGGGAAAACTAAAAGTTTAAGGAAAAGAAAAGTCCTTTTTGTTCATCTCTGAAATTTTGTTTGTCAAATGTTTTTCCGAATTTTTAATCTTCGGCGAATCTTCGAAAGCGTTTGGAATTCTTGGCTGAAATCGATGCCAAAGCATGAACTCTCATCTCCACAATTGCCCGTGGAAAAGTTTAGATATTTGATTGAATATTTTCAAAAGTGTCTGATTCAATAAAGGTATTCAGTTGTCCGTTGTCCACAGGGTACACAGGATTATAGAAGCTTGAAGTAAAAAATATCAACTATGAGAAAATCCCAACTACCAGGTCTTACTAGACTTCTTTCTTCAATCCTTAGAATCTTTCATCATCTATTTACCTAAAGCTTGAAGTGTTTTCTTTGAAACTATATAAAAGTTAACTTAATTAATATAAATATAAATATAAACTATAGAAAAGTTAACTTCTAGCTTATCTCTCGAGAGCAGTTAAAAGTTGAAAATATATTTTGATCCGACAGCTGTGCTATTTTTTCAGACTTGACGTATTTCATGCCGCTTGCCAATTTTTGTCGGTGAGGAGAGAGGGTGGCCGTGAATTTTTGGGTGCTCAATTTTGTGCCACGCACGAGTGCACATCGACATTCACTGAGTGAAACGAAAAAAAGAAAACGAAAGAGGAATTCCGCTACAAAAGAAATATACGACAGGGAGGGATGGAAGAGAAAAAGTCTTTTATAGGCAAGTCAATAAAGTTATTCATCGAATCGAGAAGGGGTTTCTATTTTGAGGAAAATCTTTTTTTTTGGTACTATCCGTTTAAAGCTTAAAACTCAAGAAACTCGATTTCGTGGTTTGACACTACTATTTTTTTCGCAGTTAGCTCAGATTTATCTGTGTATTTGCTTCTAGTCTCAATAGAGACAATTGGCATTCGGTACTTGTTTTAAAATCATCAACTTTGTCCTAAATTTTTGTTTTAAAGTCTTAACTCTGTCAAAAAAAATTATAGACGTGTTTTTTTGTTTGCAAATTTCCTGCGAGAAACCTTTCCCACAAGGCCTCAGAATGCAAAAAAAAGTTTTGCCAGCGAGAGGATTCGAACCAGGGACAGGAGGTTAGCAGCACACTATCAACTAGACTACCAAAACACGCCGATGAATCGGCGGCAAGGCTTTAAGAAGGCTAGCTTGCTATTTGGCGAAACTGGCTGAGACTTTAAAGGATTATATCTCGAAAACGGCTTATTATAAGTAGGATTTGAAAGCAGTTTTTTGTTTTTTTGCTAGTTTTAAGTGTGCCATTGTGTTAGAAAGTGTTTTTTAGTTTCTTTATCTCAAAAATAGCATCATTTCAACCAATCAAAGTACAGAAACGTACAGAGTACGTTTTTATGACTGTCAAAAAAATTATAGACGTACTTTTTAAGAAAAAGTTAACAAATAAAAATAACAACACAAACCAAATAAATGAATAATGTGTGAGCCCTCCTTGCTTTAGTCTAACTTCAAAAAGACGTCTTGGCATCGAAAAGACAAAGTTTTGGAGCGCTGTCCGCTGAAGTCGGTTCCAGGCTTCTTAAATGGCTTTCTCGAGTTCATTCACGCTCGAAAATTGCTTGTTTCCCTTGTAGACATCCCGAACGAGTGTCCCCTACACACTCTCGATCGGGTCCAAGTCGGGGCTGCAAGCGGGCCAAGCGAGAGTGTCGATTTTGTGCGCTGTCAGCCAATCTCTTGTGGAGCAACTCGCATGGATACTCGCATTATCGTGCATAAAAGTGAAATTATTGCCCGAATTGTTGTTCAAATAGACGACTAGATGTTTGTCCAACGCTTGCTTTAGTCCAACTTCAAAAAGACGTCTCGGCATCGAATCGGCAGAGACAAGGTTTTGTCGTTTTTGTATGTCGGCATTTGTAGTGCTAGGTTTTTGCCTGCTCAGGTAACAGGCTCAAAACACTCGTGTACTAGACCTGGTTTTCAATCTGACTTTTTTCAAATCAAAAAAGATCCATTTAATTCAAACCCAGATTTCGTAATGCACTTTTTTCGTAATTCGTTTCAAAAATTATGAGTTCGATCTTGGAAAAATCGCTTGCTTTTCACAAATTTTAAATATAAATCTTTGAAAAGCTTTGTACAATTTGAGAGTACAATTGTACAATTGTACAACAATTTTACACGTTTCTTTGATCGTTTACGGTTCTCTGTTCCACTGTGAAAGTCAAAGTCAAGTTTTTTTTTTCTTCACATAAAATCCCATTCCCGAGAAATGTCTCCAACTATTGTAAAATCTTTTCATTTCAAGTGAAAACTATTCAGTCGTCTTTTAAGGAAAAAAAGGTTTGCCTGTAGAAAAAAAAAAGTGGTGCTTCAAGGTCTCGCGGCAATTAGCAAACGGGACAGTTTGGGAAAAGGGAAAAGGGCTTTTGCCGAGCAAAGAATAGACTAGTCTTTTTCAGAGAACTCATTTTTTTTTGCGTTTCGTTTTCTGACTTGAGAAAGATTTTCCTATTTTGATTCTGAAGGAATTTTACGGCTAATCCAACTTTTCTTCTCAATAAAAGTGTTTTGTGAGAAGGTTGTGAGCTAATGCGTTTCTTAAAAGACATCTACTTTCAAAACTGCCTAACCAAGCTGCAAGTTTTCATTCAATCAGCCTGTGGCGAATTGCCACTGCTCTGCAGTTAATCAAAATTCAATACACAAGTTAAAATTCAAAGCTGATGGATAAACTACCGTAATCAGCCACTAGACGATATTCAGTTGTCCGTTTGTCGTGACTTGTGTACTTAAAAACCCATTATTTAAGCTTTGTCTTGAGTCAGTTGTGGGGAGTGGGACAAATGCGACCTAAGACATTAAGACTAAGACCGGACATTTGCGCACCTTTTTTTCCGCACCTTGCCCATTAGCGCACCTTTTTTCGCGTTTTAAAAAAGCTCTAAAAGGCTAACATTAACCAATTTCTATTCCAAAAGTTGTTTTTCTAGGTAATTTTAGGGCGTAGAATCGAATTTTTGACATATCAGAGCTTGTGGAAACAAACGGACGGAGTTATACAAAAGAGAAAAATCGACAATTTTCTGTAATTTGATCTAGCCGTTCTGTCTTTCAAATTGGTTCCACAAGCTCTGTGGAACCAATTTGAATGTTCCACAGCATTCCACAAGAAATTTATTTCTTACACAGCCCAATTTTGATTTCATTGATTGAGTCTTGTGACTCCTCATCGAATGTGGCCAAAATTATCGTAAATACTGTAATAATACCCCACCCTTCTCGTACAGTCGCGTAGTCGCAAAAGTTTTTTAGTATTTCATTTTTTTCAAAGCGCCCGTACTTTAAAAAAAATGCGTCTTTGGTATCAAAAAATAGCTGAAATTCAGGGCTATTTTTTGATACCTAAGCGGGCATTGTAGCATAAACCAGTGTCGAGAAAAACTCGTTCAAAGCTAGACTACGCAACACTTCGCACCGTCATTATGGGGGTGGGGTACTATTACAGTATTTACGGTAGGCTAATCCAATGATAACTGAACCACGAAAGAGTAGACATGGTTTTGATTTTCTTTTCCTCTGCTGAGTTTTTGGTTTTAAAAGGTTTTAGCATTTGGGTCAATCAAACTTTTTTCAATTATCAATAATCGATTCGACATAGATTTTTCAATACCTCAAAATGCTCAAGATGCTCTAACTTTCTATTCAACCACTCTTTCCCCATTTTTTTCTTTTCTTTTTTTCATCCTCCGATCATCAAGTTGCGACTAGCTGCAATTTGTCCTTCATCACAACAAAATATCTCCTTTTTTTCTCTCCCATTCTCTCACCCTAAAATGAAATGACCTTCTTAGCTAAGCAAAAAAGACTTCTGTCTCTCTCACTATTTCCCGTTTCAAGTTATCAACTCGAAACGGGATTTTTAGGTCTTTTAGTCGTTGAATTAATCTTGTCTGAGTAAGAAATAGTAGATTTTGATGATCTATAAGGAGTTTCGTGATTAAGATCGATCTTGATTATGTTGGCTCTATGGAAACCCTAATCAACAAACATTGGAAATTAAGAACATTAAGAGATAATTTCTTCACTCAACAAAAATTGAGAGATAATTTCTTCACTTGTTCATAACATTTATGTTATTCCAAAGAGGTCAATGATTTTGTTTTTCAATTTCTAATCAATCCTTGAATACTATTACTCTTTCACATAAAATTGTGTCATTTTAAAACATGATATTGATATGTGAAGAGCATTCAGCTTTAATTTGGCTTCAATTAGCTTCAAAATAGCTTCAAAATAGCTTCAAAATAGCTTCAATTAGCTTCAAAATAGCTTCAAAATAACTTCAAGATAGAGCTGATGACACTAGAATAAAGACTTGAAAATTGATAGGCTAAAATAAAAGCTTCAGTTGTTCAGGGGTAAACCAGTTTATCATAAACTAGAAATAGGAAACCTTTTTTTTCATTTTCTTTTCCATTTTCTTGATCGTTTTTAGCAAATCGGTTCAAAATTTCCCTCAAATTTGTTAATGCGAATTTCTATTTGTAGGCAGAGTTGGAATTGGAATGTTCTCATGTTCATGCCATGTAGAATTAATAGATTTGAACTAAGGAGTAGGCAGAGTTGGAATTGGAATCTCTCATGTTCAGGCCCAGTTGTTCCAAACCCAAAATTTCTATACCAGGCAGAGCAAGAAAAAAAATAAGATGCTCAATTTTGATTCTTTTATAAAGGTACCCTTTTATATCTTTTATAAAGATATGAAATTTTCTTGAAAATCTCGAAAAATCCAAGCAAGGAAAGACG